AGCTAGATGGCTGCTTGTTTCCCTTCAAGCCTTTATCCCCATCTAACTTCTAAGGAGCATTCTGACTGTTTGTTCCTCTGATAGCCCATGGTATGTTCCGCATTCTTTGCCAATACCACCACTATTTTCAATGCTCTGCATACATGAACTCAGTCCCCTCAACTGACTACTGCGTTGGGTGTATCTTCGCTTCTTATTTCTGCTGTAACAGATGACCACACATTTGGTGGCCCAGAACAACAAAAAGCTATCCTCTTGTCGTTCCCCAAGAACAGACATCTGCACATGAAGCTTGTTCCCGAGCTGTGTTCTTTCTGGGGGCTACCGAGGAAGGCCAGCTTCATGTCTGCCTCCTTTGTTCATCGGCTCTTTCTTGCCTCACTTTGACCAGCACTTGACGCTGCTTCCCTCGTCATCTTCTCTTCCCTGATTCGGACCCTCCTTTTCTTTCTCCTCCCGGAACTTGTTAATACTTTGGATCTATCTAGATAATTCATCTCAGACCCCTTCAATTAACTGCACCTGCAGGATCCCAATGGCTCCCTAGGGAGGTATAATCAAAGGTCTGGGGACTAGCACATGGGCTGCTCTGGAGGCAATTGTCCTACCCGAGATGCTACTGCTACCCCCTTGTTATAAGTGCAACTGAGACGAAGTGGATGGAGTAACTTGTCCACGGTTATGGTGACACTCTGTGCATCCCCGCTCCTCCAGGGGTTAATGTCTACCATGCACTAGGACTAAGGCCTGGCATAAAGAAGCACTAAGCTAGTTGGGCTTCCCTTATTTTGATTTCTTGTGGCCACCCTAGAATTGTCCACGCACTCATGGAGACCTCGCTGTGCTAAAAGGGAGGAGCTCTTGCCTGGTCCTGCGTCACCCCAGGATGCTTGTAGCTAGGACTGTTGTGATGCACAGTTTGTTCACGGACTAATTTCCAGAAGCAGGAGGCCTTTCTTCACAGTCCATCTTAATCTGGAAGAAACACTGACACCTTTCAGCATCATAGCAACACATACACCTCCACGAACATGACTGTGCATGCAATGAACTTGAAACTGGGTCTCTCGCCTGGAAGGGGAGAATTGCGCCATGGAGCCCTCACTGCCCCTGTGCATGATGGCAGTGTGTGTTAAAAGTAGAAGACAGTAACTGCTGCAGCTTTAAGTCAACACCAGCAACACCAAAGGTGGACCTGCCCTTGGTGGATGTATGTAAGAGAATCTCTTAGTCTTCCTGCAAACTCCAAAGGAATTGATTGACTGACCAATCGTTTGGCATTCAGAGAAAAGAAAGGGGTGGATACCCTGCTCTTCTTTATGTGATTGGAGACCTTGAGTCAGCAGCCTAAGCCTCCTGGTCTTCATTTGGATGATGGCACTGTCATGAGCATCCTGATAGCATCCTGACCCAAGAAACCGTCAGAACCATTCAAGGGGATCCTGCATACCAAAGGAGGCCCTGCACCACGTAAACAGTAAGCCCAACGAACTTGGTGGTTCAAGTTCAACCAGAGGCACCTTGAAAGAAAAGGCGTTGGGGACCTTCTTCCCCATATCCAGCCATTGAAAACACCATTCCATTCGAGCTGCCTTTCCAATAGTTGCTGAAGAAAAGATATGTTGGTGACCAGCTTGCGCGGTGTGAATGAGTGAGCGATACTCGCAAAGGAGAAGAGGCTTTGAAATCAGAAGGCCGGCACGTACCTGTGCAGATCCCCTGCTTGTGGTAAAAGCCGTCTCCGCAGCTGCTCTCACAGCTCCCCTCTCTCAGCACTTGGAAGGCATCTCTGCAGGCCAAGCAGTTCTTTTCCGAGGGCCCCCAGCATGCCGCACAGGACTCATGGCAAACTGCAGGCAAACACAAAGCCAGTGAGCAGCCGGCAGTCCAAAGACTTGGTGTAGCTGTTTAGGGTCACAAGGAAGATGTGGGCTCTTTGCTTCCTGGACCGCTGTGCATATATGTCTACCTCAGGAGAAATGCACCAGCTCATCCCAGAGAAAAGCAAAAGGCGCCCTTTTTGTTGGCCAGAGTACAACTTTGGCAAAGCACTGCTGAGAGATTTGAAACAAGAAGCCAGAGGCCATTGAGTCGTGTGAATTACGGGGAAGGAAATAATCGTTTCTAGATACACGCCTTGGTATTTGAAAGCTGGGCACTGAA